CATGCCCCTTACAAAAAACAACAAGATTCCCACCTATTATCCACCCCAAGGTCCCCTGGTTAGTCTTGGGGTACACCAGTGTCTATTATCTCCTAAACCACTTCACTCCCTTCTTGGGAAGATTCCGCCTATTTGGTCACCTTCTACACATGTTAATGATTAGGATTCCAGTAGGGTCCACTCTAGTCAAATTCAACTTGGGAGCTGTTCTTCATTCAATTGGAGAGAGACTTCCCAATGAGTGGATCCCTGACAGAATCCAAGCTGCTGTGTTGTTGTTGTTGGCCCCAGCAAATGGTTCCAAGGTGGCACTTTGAAGTCTTTGGGCCACGTAGGTGGGCATGATTCTTTCTTTGGTTGTGGCTTGGGACAGAAAGGTAGGTGCCTGGAAGAACCCCTGCGCTGACAGGGCGTTGAAGGCAGGTACAGGTACAAGCATGTTCTGGTACAGTACAAATCATTCAGGTATTTTGGTACCTGGCAGGTATGACGTCCACTCCAGAGGGAGGCCAGACATGATTCTATCAAGGATTTGTTGACTGTGGCAAGTACGGGCAACAGGCAGAATTTTGAGGGTTAAAGTAGGATGGAAAGCCTATTTCTTCTACCAATGTTGTAACTGTGCTGTTTTGGCAAAGTTACAAGGGGGAAAATATTTGGAAACTAGATAATAATCTTTATTGTGAGATAGTGATTATATAGTTAATGTGAATCAAGGATAAGAGGAACATGATTGTGTTGATCACATGGCTGGATGGTGAAGGGGGTGGCTTGATCCCAGTAATAAGTCACACGCCAAAACAAGGTGTCCACTGTAAGGGGTCATCATTTGTTCATGTTGTTAAATTTGGAAATTTGAGTCAACTTCCTAGTTTGGCTTCAAGTGACTGGGTAATCAGATTGCAGGTCATAAACCTGCTTACTTGGAACCTTGCTGGCAGTTCAGCTTGCTGTTTTGACAAAGTTAATGGTGCTGGGGGCTCAGTTGTGTAAACCTTCATACGCTGCAATGTACTCCTTGATTGTTCCTGTCATTTTAAAAGTTCTGAGTTTTGTCATGATCATCACATCAGAGTCTTTCATGGCAAACTTTTCAAGGAAGGCGGTTTTGAACATGTCACAGTTTTCATTTTGATCAGGGTGTTATTTGAGCCATTCACTTACAAAGTGTGAAGTGGTACCCCAGACACGGAGGAAACTTCACTGGCCCAGAGTCTGCGGGGGTAGCTCACTTTTGTGAACTTGCTTTGTGTGCTAATGATCCAGAGGTTGGCATTTTCCCAGCCTAATCCTGCAAAGGTCCCAATTTCTGCTGAACTTAGGCATTGGAATACAATGTTGGGTATTTTGGTTGTTGTGGTTCTGTTGCAATTGGAGGAAGGTTCAGGAGTTTACAAGCTTTGAGAGTGTTGTATTGTTTGATGGGGACAAGGATGTTTTCAAAGATGAAAAAACCTGCAGGGACTTCTTGTCCTTCTTTGTAGTCTCTCCAGCTGATAGGAAGGGCCATTTTTGGGTCTTTTTCTTGGGAGGAATTTTTCCTTTAAGTTGGGTAGGTATGGATAACCTACCTGTTCTACCACTGTCAATTATATACTTCTGGGAAGTATAATAGACAATATAAAGGGGAAATTTAATAAGAGAATGATACTTTATTGCATATGAATATAGGAATATATATAGTACTATGGAAAGCCACATATTGTTCATTTATGTCTGGAGATCATGGGGCTTATTGAAGTAATGTTCCTCTTAAGTCACAAGGCTTATTCAAGTTGTGTCTGCTTAAGATCTGGATTGTTTGATCCCTGTAATAGATGGCGGCATGATAGTAGTGACACTGAATTACTGGTTGGTTGGTGAGCCATTTGGTGATTCATTTGGTGAGCTATTTGGGGTGTTAGTTCCCCAAGAGGGAGTAATCAAAGATGTTGTGACGATGATAAACTTTAAGGTTTTGAAATTGGATCATTTACAGTTTCTCTAAACAAAATAAACATATAATTATCTAATTTAAATTCAGTTGATCACCAAATTGTTGCTAATATTTTCACAAGGGGATGAGTTTGGGTGCTAAAAATAACTGTGTTCAGGATCTAGATACACAACATAGTAAATATATGATTTTATAGAAATAAGCTGAACATAAACAATAAAACCAACTATAAACAAAGAGAAAATGAGCAATTAAAATTCAGAATAAAGATAATATAAATAGAAAATGTTTGGTGACAGGGGGCTTATTGAGGGACAGGGAAGAGTGATGCATACTAGGCAAAATGACACAGAAAGAAAGTCATAGAGGTGGTGCTGACCTGTGAGGTCTGGGATTGGGTGGGTGGGGCTGGAAGGTGGGGGATGGCGGGGATAGAGGAAGGAGGATTGCACGTAATGGCCGCCATATACTGCTGGTGATATTCCTTGTCTGTCATTGGCTGGATAGGTTGATAGATGGCTGTGGTGCAAGGTGGGAGGCACTTATTCTTATGTGATTGTTTTTCCATATTCACATTAAAAACCATCTGCACAAACAATTCAGCCATCATTTGGCAACCAAAAAGAGACTTGTGGTCAAGGACACCAAGATAGAGATCATTGAACACCTGTGGGCAGCGCTGCCAGACTGTGTCTTCAATATTGAAGAACACTACATCAACCAGATGGATATCTGCATGACTGGTGGGGTAGACTGAAGCATGGTGCCTGCATCCTTGGATGGCCTTGAGAGCAGTGGAGCTACCCTCCATCTGGTGGCTCAAGAAAACCTGGTGAAGGAAATTTGAGCTATCCCAGGAGTCAAGATTTTGCCAAGGATGTGGCTATATTTGTAACCATTGGCAAAATCAAGGTTTATCTGATAATAGACAAAACCCTAGGCAGAGACAGCCAGAAACGCATCAATAAATGTCCCCCTCTTAACCTTCTTTCTTCCTTTTTGGGTGGTGTCTTTTCCCTGCTTGCCAAAATTTTCAAAAGCTATTGATAGCTTGTAATAAGAGACAAACATGACATCATCTGTTAGACTGGTCAAGCATCAGACCAAGGTGGATTCAATGGCATGATCATATGGGGAATCCTTGCTGTCATCCCATTAGTTGCCAGCAACATTGGTCAGCACACAGAATGACACCACCTTTTAATGCATCCACAGCTGCACCATACGCTCAGCTACCCATATGACATGGTGTGCAAGTTATTTCTGGACCTGGGTCAAGGGGAGCTTAGGGTCCCACTGTAATAGATTGAGCATGATTGGGTATGCCTTGTTGATTTGGGACTTGGGGGCCTTCTTGGGCTTCTTGGCTGTCCTAACCAGGTTCCCCTTGTTCATCAGGTTGTTGAATTCCCGCGTTATTGTGGCTTGGGTGAATTGCAATTGGCTGGCAATCTGTTCCCAGGTCAGGCCACACAGGTTAAGTGCCACAATTTCTTCAAGAATCTGAGCAGTAATGATTCTGTGTTTGGGGCACTGGGCTATAGGAGCTGAATCCTGATTGGCTGAGGGGGGCAGGTTGGCTGGTGGCAAGAAGTTGTTCCAAATAATGGTTGCTGTTCTGATTGGCTGGTTGGTTGGCAGCTTGCAAAGGGGTGGGTAAGGGAGCAGGGGCAGAGCTAGACGCAAAGTGACTCTCAAACAAGTCAAAGCCATAAGGGCTGGGGGTCAAGTACATGTCAGCTTCCTCATTACCTGCATCAAAGGCTTGGGTTTAAACAAGAGCCTTCATATGCTGAGTGTCACCTCCATTAAGGCTGCCTTGGCTGCTCCCTTGTTTACTGAGGCCATCAAAAATGTTGTTGTTAAAAACCAATGTAAAAAACCTAGGATAAAAACACTAAAAGTATAAGTTTAAAATTTTATGACTTTATTTTTATTGTAATCACAAGTCCATATTTGGATAGTTCTTGAAACTTATACACACAAATAAAGAGTTTTTAAAACCAATAAATGCCTTTGTTCCCAAAAATGATAACTGTTGATTGGCTGCTAAAAAGGTTTTTTATTTTAGGATGCACATACTACACATCTTGTGTGACTTCATTATGTTTTGTGTTTATTAAATCTTACTTCTAGGTTACTCTATTTGTGTTTCATTTTAGCTCTTCTGTCAGTGCCTCCTCTAAATCCTGTAAGGATTATAATATATTCCAGAGCAACCTCAATCTATTTCACTTGCTATACCAAGTCATTTTTTGTAGTTTGAACTACATTGTTTGATTCTTGATATAAGTTCATAAATTCTGTGAGTGATATTTTGTTTATTGTTTGACATTTTGCCAGTTACCAAAAAAACTTAAATTATTTGATTTCCGAATTGTGCCCGACTTAGAGTTTGCTTAAATCTAAGTCCATTTCGTTTAAGTCTGAAGTATTTTTTTCTTGGTGCCAGAGCATTGAAAACTACTGTATGCAGCTGAGTTGATTTTTTTACATATGAGCAGGTTTCATTTGGATCTGAGTTGTTTAAATTATATATAGGTTTGTTTAGATTAGCATCCTAGCTTTGAAAACTACTGTAACAAAAAACCTAAAACATGATACTACTAATAATTAGTAAACAATATATCTAGGTATTGTGTTTATACATATATTAAATAAAATGTTTTAGGATAGTGATTGTAAGCAATCTAAATCTTTATATATAAGCTAAGAATCATATTTTTGATATAGTTTGTTTGTATAAAAGTTCAGTTGATAATAAAACAAAGTAAGCTTAAATAATATATAAAAATGGATTTATTTGGAAACTATGTTCATCACATTTAATCAAACACTTATTAAACATAAATAAGATCATATAGTATTTTAAGTGCTAATAATTTTTCTCTTTGTATGACTTGGTTAAAATATATTGTCTTTGAATTTTTATTACAAAGATAAATGGTAATTTGTATTAAAAAATCCAGATCTAGTAAGCTATGTTAGCTCCCCCAAAAAAATACAATTTAAAGATAGAGTGTCAAATAAATAGGCCCCTTTATGTTGTGTTTTAAAACAGAAAGCTTTGTTAGCTCAGTCGGAAATGGCATGAGGCTTTTAATCTCAGGGTCACGGGTTCGAGCCCCATACAAAGCTTCGCGGCTATAGCTCAGTTGGGAGAGCGTCAGACTGAAGATCTGAAGGTCCCACGTTCAATCCGCGTTGGGCGCATCATGACTGGCTTTTACCTTTTAGCTAAAATCTGTAACAAAACTTTTGGTATTATATAAACTTGCTTTCACTATAAATTATATATTTTGTTAGTCAAATTTCTGTCAATTGATATAATGATTCATAATTAGCTCTTTGTACTTAACCCTCATTATTGTCAATGTTATCGATATACTAATTATTATAGAAATAAGTGATATATTGGATTATGTGTTTTTGATGGATCAAGTGAAAATAATTATTTTTTTCAGATATTTTAAAAGGGTGTTTCATCTATTATCTCATTTAAAGCATGTTCTGGAATAAATCAAAGAGATACAATTGGTAATTTGGGATGACTTTATACTTTTATTGCCAATGTATCAAATAATAAACCAAGAAATCCAATAATTCACACCAGTCAAGATTTTCTTTTTATAATATCAATTATTGTTTTTTTCTCTGGTAACAATTTTTGAATTTATTTATTTGCTAAATATTTAATCTTCTTGTTTAATGTTACTGGATATGCAGCAATCAACATCAAAGTTACCACTCTCTTTTTTTATAAATCTGTTGGCACAATTAAAATCTAGCCATAATCAGCCTACCATAATTTAAATTTCAGCATAGTGTATTTAGTATATGGATATCATTATTTCTTGTGTTGTGACATCTGCAATTACTCTCTTTCAGGGAAACAAATCCCCAAGCGATCTCTTTGGCTGCTGAATAGCTTGTGGCACTAACACCATAATCCAAAGGGATGTCTAGGGGTGAGATAGTCTGAATCATACATGGAGCACTATTTAGAACAAATATTTCTAGTCCTATACAGAAAAATAACCAAACAAATCCATGACTTTCAAAAAACATATTCATCTTGCTACAATACTATAGAATACTATTCTTCTATATTAAATAAATTAGCATTATTTTCTCAATTCCCCTCATTATTTTTGGTATATATACTTCCCAGAAGTATATTTATAGCACTTGGATTTTTCTCAATTAATATAAAAGATATGTAATATTTTATGATTTATTAAAATTTTCAGATGCTGTTGCAACTGAACCAATGTGGGTCCAGTACTTGATTTGGGGAAGACAACAGTCCATTAGAAAGGACAGGAATAATAGGAATACAATGTTGTTTACTGTAGAATATCATGATTAATATACTATATGGGAAAAGCCATCAGGCCACAAGGGGGTGGCATGGTGGCATGTTCCATGTTGTTTGATACGTCCTGGGGCAACTCATCAAGCGCCCCCTGTGTATTGTAAGATATATTAGCAGGCAAAGAAGGAAACTTGGTTAAAACAATGCAGTAATATTTTTATTATAAAATTCTTCTTGATGAATATGTTAAAAATCCAAAACAAACCAATAATATATAGCTATCTTCCTCTGTGATTTTTTTATATCAATGGGGATGTAACTTTGAGGAAGCTTTGAAGATTAGGTTAGAGAAGAATGTATTTATTGAATTAATATTCTAGGATTTATATCCAAATTAATTGTGGCAAATACTCAAGAAGTATCACTTGAAAAGAAACCCATAATGAGTGGGTAGATGGAAAAGTTGGCAAAAAATTAGTTTTATGCTAAGTAAAACAAGTTGTTGTAACAGAGATTACCTTTCTGCCCACTAATATATCTCACAATACACAGGGGGTGCTTGAAGAGTTGCCCAATGATGTGCTAACAGAATGTATTTGTCTGATCACAATTTGAATTGTGGGTACTATCACCAAATTAGGAGCACTGCCAATTTGACACACTGATCCCTTGGATAAGATATTCCCCACCTAACACCTTATGTTGAACCTGCCACTGTACCAGCTTCTGGTGGACTTTTAGCTTCTTGATATGATATATCAATTACACTATTCTCTAATAAACTACATCTTATTACTTTTCTTGTCCTTCCTATTTGGACTGTTGTCTTCCCCAATCTAAACACTGAGATATTATTGGGTCAGTTGCAACAAAGCAATTGATAAATTAGATTGAAATCAAATAAGCAGATGGATGGATATTAACTGGGTTAGCTGTGTCCAAAAAATTTAACATCAAGATCCTTAACATACTTTCTCTTTTAGGGATTACTTCAGGGATGCTGGTGCATCAAGAGAGGTCTGGTCTTGTTTCCTGTGGCCTGATGATCCTGGTTTTGCTACTGAACCAATAATAGTTTAGTATTTAGGTGGGGAAATTTGAAATCCCTGGATTTTTGATTTGACAATCCAGCCGTCAACCTTAATTAAAGCAGCAACTGCTTGTTATACTCAGAATATCATGATGCAGAGCTCAATTAAAATAATTTATTCATCATTACATTAATCTTAAAACTCAGTAGACCCAAGTGATCCTAATAATATTCAGTGGCACCAAGGCCAAACCATTCTACTGATCAGAATATTTTCCCTTGACCCAAAACCAATAGGCCATATTGCCCTTGACTTGATACAAAACAGTATTTCACTCTTGGGCAACCCAGTGGTGCATCATCACAACCCCAAAATTCCCAAGTGCTCTACAGGAGCTGAAAATTTGGCTAGCAATGCAATTTTAGGTGCCAATCCCAAAAACCATAGTTACAATAATGATTAGCATGTGGTTTAACCTAGTTCTGCCTATATCGGTGGAGACTAAACCTCCAAAACCCTTTTTGTACATTAATATATCTTTTTATTATACTGTTGAGAATCTGGATGTACAAGCATTCTGGCTACTGCCAACTTACTTAACATCCAGTCATCACCTGATTTGGTGCCCTTCCAATATACAGTTCAACATACTGGTAATGGCAACCAAGCAATATCACCTGACCGTCCAAGTATCCAGTGGCTTGAACCCATCTAGCATATAATCAACCCCTGGGTTTGATCCAACTAAATCTCTGCCATAGCCAAATCTATATAAGTCTAAAATATTATCCAATAAAAGACACTTCTCTTCTTTCCTAATTCCATATTTGAAGCTTCCCAAAAAGGCGCTCCTTATCAATACTCTGCAATAGAGTTGTTCCCACCCATAGGACATAGAATAGATGAACTGGTTTTCAGAAGATTTCCACAATGGTAGCTTTGAAATGGAGCCGGCATTACACCCACCTTAGGATAAGGTTGGGAGCAGTAATAATGCAATAATGATTACTCTGCAATGGAGCATTGGGCAAGACACTTTTTGGGGAACCATTCAGTAAACTCTGATACCATAGGCCAGTCCAGCCTCAAGAATTCTTGGGTCAATTACCCATGCAATAACAATCCTATAAAAGGATATTTCCCTTATGATAATAAAGATCCTACTCTTGATCTCTTCAAGTATACCCTACCTTAAAGTTTTATCTGTGTTTAAGATACTGAAGACTGTGTTTTGGTATGCCTAGTTAAGCTAAATGTTACAACCAAGCTTTCAAACTTGCCTACAACATATCTTACAATACACAGGTGGAGCTTGGTGAGTTGCCCCTTGACATGTCTAACACCATGAAACAATCTGATAACAATTTCAAACTGGGGGCACTTTCTCCTAATTAGGAGCACTACCAATTTGACCTTCTGATCCCCGCACAAGTTATTCCTTGGCTCCAAACCTTACATGGAACATGACACCCCCTTGTGGCCCGGTGGCTTTCCCCATATAGTATATTAATCACTTATTCTATAATAAAAAACATCTTATTATATTCATCCCTGTATTTTCTTATTGTACTGTTGTCTTCCCCAATCAAGTACTAAACTCTAATTGATTCAGTTGCAACAGTGGTAGCAGTGGTAGGTTCACAACCTACCTAAAATAAAAATTCACCAAAAAAGGACAGAGTACGGGCTGTATGGCTACTCCCCATCAAAAAACCTTCCTGCCAATCTCTGAGAGGGACATCCCCAGCAGGTACATCATCTATCAAGATAAACTGATACTTACAAGCATGTATAATTGACTCTGCTCTGGGCAGCGCAGTGCAAGTGTCACCCTGCCTCAGTTGGATTTTTCTCAACACATGCTCAACCTCCAGCTTAAATCCTTTGAGGGAGGTGTTAAAGAAGCTGACATTGTCAGTTGGCTCCACTCTACCAAAACCCGCCTATGCATCTGTCAAGTACCTGAGCCCATGTGGGTTGCCACTGCTTCAGGCTGCCTTACAAGGCTTGCTGCAGTCTAGTTCATCAACTGGGCCAGCCAGAAAATAGAGATTACCTGGGTGTTGTTCTGGGATGCCATGAAGCCCCACTACAGTGAATAGTTTTCACCCATTGTGGTGGGAACTCCCTCCTGGCCATTAAACAGACTGTGTCTGTTCCTGAATATCTTGCCGCCACCCCAGAAGCTGTGACTGATGGGAACACCATGCTACTTACCTTGATAATTAATGGGCTTAAACCCCATATCTGAAAATGGGTTCCCGTGGGTTGCTGTACCTCCATTGACAACTGCTACAAGGCCATTGTGGAGGCCAATAACCAGGCTTCAATGGGCTTCCATAGATCCAATGACACACCACCCCAACCTTGTCCTTTACCTGGCAGTGCCCACAATCAAGTAGGCTGCTGCCAGCCTTGCTAACACAAAATGGGGTTAAGTGTCCCCACAAGGGGGAACTCCAGTTAGCACAAATTGAGGACCAGGGAAAAGCCTGGGGGTTGTAGTTACAAATGGTTCTACAACCCCACTTGACCCTCACTCTCAATCTCTCCTTGAAAACAACCCCTGTGAGTACAGCATGCATGAATTTAAAGCCCTCAATGTATTCCAGGTCCACAACAATGACCCTGTACTCCAAGCAAGCCATTCTTCAAATAAAGTAACTCACTTGGTCTATACCTTCTGTTTCTGTGGGAACACTTATAAACTATTGGTAGATACTGGGGCCAATCACACTATGGTTGACCAGGCGTTTGGCAACTCTCAACAATTAGACCAAGTGCCAAGCAGG